AAGGAATTTAACTAAAATTCACCATTCAACATTGCCAAGAATGGCCTTGATTTCGATTTAAAACATCGTTTCTAATCAGACTACTAAATTTGAGACAATTCTAAGCTCGTCCCAAAAGTGTCGCTATTGCTCTCAATTTGGTTTCTTTCTTGCCTTTTAGTAGTCCAATTGTTCTAAGAAGTCTTCGACTACTTGTTCCACATCATCCGTACATGGCCTAAACCACATATAGGGTAACGTAAAGTTCCCCCCCCCCTCCCTCCTCTGTCTCCCCTCCTTTTATGTTAGTAAATTTTGTTTTCAATATCAAAATTTTAACACTACTAGTGAATAAAAAAGCATGTAATGGCATCGTTTGAAAAGTTAGTTATTTTAGTTGGCTATTTGAATTTTTGACTTTGAAATCTGGTTAAAATAGTTGTGTTTGAGAAGTTACTTGACCTTTTTTTGTAATTAGTTCATTTGATTGGTTGTAACAGAAAAAGTGAAATAATTATGAGTTGAATGTGATATTTTATCTTTTAGTGAGCTATTTTAGCCCAGCCCTCTTCCCAAACCCCCCCAATATATAGTATGACATTTATATTTTCTACTGCAGCTCCATTGGTTTCGACGTAAAATATTTTACACAGAAAAATTATTTTTTTTTATAAATTGATTTACACAGAATTATTATTATTATTTTTTTTTACGTTTGGTTGATTTTTGAAACAAAAATATTTTATTGTCAAAAAGATAAATTTTGATTTAATAAAATGTCATTTATGACTTTTTAATGAGTTAATATATTTATTTAAAAATGTTAAATGTGTTGAAAATGTAGTGAGTGAGAGTCACTTTGTAAAACTTAACTTACAAAATTTTTAAAGATAAATCATTTTCATACTTCTCTAGTTTTCTGTCATTCATATATGGCATCACTGTACTTGTATGCTGTCCATGTGAGCAAAACTGGGCAGGATTTCACCCTCCAATTGGCTGGCTGGTCAACCACCCAAGGGTGATTCGACCTCCTTTATTTGCCTGCTTCTACTGCTACTTCGATTTTCTGTTCCCAAACAAATAAGAAATATTCGGTTACCTGTTCCTGAACAAATAAACAATGTTTGGGCCTGTGTTCCTAAATTTCAGTCATATGTTCAGGAGTTCAGTCCAAAAAAATTAACAAACAGTTTTATTATTTTTATCATTTTTTTCAAGAAACTTACTTTTATAAAGCTAATCTTATCTGAGTTAAGAACACCATCAAAATTATAAAGCTCTTTTAAACTTTTATCATTGTACTCCTTTTGTCATATGAAATTATAATTGGTAGGAAAATTTTCACTCATTGTCATTGCCGGAGAAGTGTATATAATCAAATGGTTGCCACTGTTGTTGCAGGAATATTACCGCCAAAGGGTTTTTAAGGTTTTGAAGATGGATAGGTTTTGAAGGTGAAATTTGGGAAAGATAGATGGTGTGATGGAGGTGGGTGCTCTCATAAACTCTAACTCATGATGTAATAGGTATATGAGTTTAATTGTGAGTTGGGGTGTTCCAAAATTATTGATGTCATTTTTAGTAATTTTACTTGAAGTTATTGTTGTAATAAAAAAAAAGTTAAAAAATGATAAAATCAAAATAATTGATGAGGTGTTAATAACAGCCCTCTAAATTTTATATAGATAAATTATACTTTATCCCTTTTATGTTTGGCTATTTTTTCATTTTGACCCTTAAAGTTTTTTTTTTTTTTTTTTTTTTTCATTTTGACCTTTCATGTTTTAAATTTTTTTCAATTTACTTCTTAGGTTCAAAATTAGACAAAAAATATCATGATAACTACAACATAACATAATAATAATAATAATAATAATAATAATAATAATAATAATAAAAACATATGATTATTTTGGGATTTCAATTTATGTATGAGATGTGAGTTATATATAATAAAATATTGTGATTTTTTTTTTAAGGCCCCTGGTATTATGATTTTATAGCATAAAAGACACTCAATATTTTTATAATGTCTAAGGTCCCTCAACATCAATCTAGAGAAAATTCAATTTAATCCAGAGAAATTCTCTGGTCCAAACCAGAGAAAATTCAAGAATTTTTGTAGTGCGCAAATAGAAGCTCTCAAACTTGAGCTTGCTTCTAACTGGTTTTTCAAGAGCTTGTTCTCTGGCCTGAACAAGATGAGACCCTGTTGATGCTCCAAATGTTGCTTGATTTGTAATACAGGGCTCGACTTGCCAGTGCTCATCAACTGTAATAGCTGCTATGTAGCATTAACTGTTGTGTTGTGATGCTTTTTAGCTTTCTAGATTGATAATTTTCTCTGGATTACTCTTGATTTTTCTGTAGATTACTTTTGAATTTTCTCTGGATTTGGAAATTTTCTCTGGATTACCCTTAAATTTTCTCTGGTTTCAGTTTTCTTTGATTTTTCTCTGGTTTGAATTTTCTCTAGTGAATGATTTGAATTTCTCTGGTAAGGACATAGAGTTTGAATTTTCTCTGTTCATGATGGCATTTGTTAAGGACATAGAGTTTCATAGAATTTCTCTAGACTTCCCACTTAGAAATTCTCTTCAAATTTATCTGGTTTGCAAATTTCTTTAGTTTTCTCCCAGACCAAACCAGAGAAAAACACCATATTCCAAACAAAGAAGAGAAACATAGTTTTTTTTTTTTTAAAAAAAAAACAGAGGATTTCTTGAGCTTCTTCATCTAACAATGGCTGAAAACTCTTCTTCTCTCAGGTAACTCTGCTGCCTCGCAATAAAATCCTCCACCGTCTTCCGGAACTCCTCTCCGCTCATCTAACAAAAACAGCCTCAGCCTCTGATTCCCTATCCCCGGCACCGGACGGCGATGAGTAATGTCAATCCTACCACCTCCGCCACCAAATCAAAGTCAAAAAAGTGTCAGCAACCCCCATGCCAGCTATTAGAGATCACCGTCATCTCCGCCCAAGAGCTTTCACCCGTTGCCAAATCCATGAAAACATACGCCATCGTATGGCTTACCCCTGACCACAAACAAGCACTACAGGAAAAAACACTTTTCGTGACCAACATTTCTGGTCGCAGAAAGGTAAAATCTGGTCGCTAATAGTTTTTAGCGACCAAAAAAAGTTGGTCGCTATTTCGTCGCCTAAAGTCCGTCACAGAAGGTTTTTGGAGACCAAAAGTTAAGTTGGTCGCGGAAAATCATCATTTGCGACAACATTCTTTGGTCGCGGAAGGGGCTTGAATTTGTCAAAGTTGATCCTATTGCGACTAAGAATTTGGTCGCTAAAAGTTAGATTTTAGCGACCATCTATTTTGGTCCCTGAAAGATAACCATTTGCGACGAAAATATTGGTCGCAGAAAGTGGGCTTTTGGCTACCAGAATTATTCTAGTCACAGAAACTCAGCATTTGCGACGAAGATTTTGGTCGCGAAAAGTGGCCTTTTGGCGACCAGAAGAATTCTAGTCGCAAAAAATTGAGCATTGGCGACGAGTATTTTGGTCGCGAAAAGTTGAGTTTTGGCGACCAGAAGAATTTTAGTCGCAAAAAAATGAGCATTGGCGACGAGTACTTTGGTCGCGAAAAGTTGAGTTTTGGCGACCAGAATGATGTTGGTCACAGAAAGGGCAATTCCTAGAACCTTATTGCAACTAAAAACATATTGGTCGCAAAAAGACTTTTAATTTCAAAATTGATTCTTTTAAATATAATGCCAAATTTTTTGTAATACCTATAATACATTTGCAATTAATACATAATTCATGTCCATCCAATCAATTTTAATATACCAATCCAATCTAAAAAAAAAAAAACATCAATTATAAAGTCAAAATAATAATTAATATATTTACAACCACCTGTCAATATCAACACATTACATGCCCAAAATAACCATCCATCCTTACAATAAATTCACCACATCAAAAAATATTTAACAAAACATCAAAGATTTCAAATGCATGTCATATTTGTCCGATGCGAAGTATCTCAAAAACTCCACATATATATATGCACAACTTAGAATTAATGCATCGGCAAACTCAGATCCATAAACATGCATGACTACGCCTCTAGCTAGCTACCTGCAATAAAAAAAAAAAAAAAATTGAAGAAAGCGTTGTTAATAATAATATATTTGTTTACATTTCTAAATAAAAAATTTTTCACCTTATCAATCCAATTTCTGCTCCACACAACAACAACAACAACAGCCTCAGCCTCTGATTCCACATCCCCGGCACCGGACGGCGATGAGTAGCGTCAACCCCACCACCTCCACCACCAAATCAAAGTCAAAAAAGTGTCAGCCACCCCCATGCCAGCTATTAGAGATCACCGTCATCTCCGCCCAAGACCTTTCACCCGTCGCCAAATCCATGAAAACATACGCCATCGTATGGCTTACCCCTGACCACAAACAAGCAACTCGAGTCGATAGCAACGGCAATGCGAACCCAACCTGGAACGACAAGTTCGTCTTCAAAGTCGACAACAATCTTCTCACCTCCGATACAACTGCTGTCATCGTAGAAATCTGTACAGTCTCTTGGATCAGAGACAACCTCGTCGAAACGGTTCACGCTCTCATCACCAACCTGCTCCCTCCCAATTATCGAACCGTAAACGATTCCATCACCCGCTTCGTCGCTCTCCAGGTCCGCCGCGCTTCCGGCCCTCTGTGTGTGCGTGTATCTGGACAGGTCTGAGAATGGAGAAGTTTAGAGAGAGAGAGAGAGATGAGTTTTGATTTGGTAAGGTCAAATTTCTCTGTGATATGTTTAGGGACCTTAGACATCAAAAAATAATTTTATGAATCTCTTCCATTACGAAAAGTAGGAGATGAACCCTAGACTAATTTTTCCTAAAATATTTGCATACTGCGTTACTCTCAGTGTGTTATTTTTTTTGTTTAATTTTAAATGTAAATTATTTTTAAAAATAAATTAGAAAAAACTTGAAAAATAAAAGATAAATTTTAAAAGTGAAATTAAAAACGTGGTCAAACATAGAGGCAAAAGTATGATTTACCCATTTTATTTGGGAATCTCAAAGATGCTCTCTAACGATGGATCAACTTCTTCGCTTCGATCTCACACCCAGTAGCTGACGCAAAGCCTCTGCAAGTTCCATCATCTTCTCGTCAAATTTGACTCCAAAACAAATAGGCAAGTTTTATTCACCTGGTTGCTATATTTGCTTTTAGCATGGCCCATTTTAATTGTTTCGCCTTTTGATTTGTTCTTCATATGTTTTGATCATTTGGGTACCATAATTTTATGATGAAAATTTGCATTTTAGATATCGGCAATGATTTCCATCATGGACTTGAAATCTGAATTGGGTTTTGTTTTAAGAACCAATTATTATGTTTATACATTTGCGTATATTGAGTATTTTAGATATGATATTCACAAATGAAACTATGGTCTTATCAGTATTTTGCGAAATAGCTTAAAGGGCACACTAAGTATTTTAGATATATAATCTGCACAAAAGAAACTATGGTATATTACTATTTTGTAAAATAGTTTAAAGGGTGCATCGATTTATATCTCACACTATCTATGCATCAAAATGTAATGTTTATATATTTTAGTCTAATCTTATATGTTTGATTGACATCCATTGTGTTATGGTTTTCATTAGATTACTAGGATGAACACTGACTCACTTCGTCGAGCCATTGGGGCCATCAGTGTCCAGGGATTTGGCAATGATTTTAGATATTGTAATGGAATTGGGAATTCTGATGTGAGATTATTTTCAAAGGCCTTAAGGATCAATTCAAGATTGTTGAGAAATGGAATTTTTAGCTCAACCCGGTTTACAATCAAGGCATCACCAATTCATTCTGCAAATTTAGATCCAATTGTGGCCTCCTCACATGGCACTGCTGACGATCCAGGGAAGATTTCAAGTGAGTGTACTTGATTTGAAGTGATCCTTCATTCTTACATAATTAAACTAGTGATGCACAATGTGTGGTTTTACTCTTGATATACCATTCATGCCAATCCTACATTAAGTGTAAACTTGTGGCTTTATAATGCTGTCCAGATGAGTCTACTCTGATCTTGATTCGACATGGTGAGTCATTGTGGAATGAGATGAACCTGTTCTCTGGTTGTGTTGATGTGCCATTGACCAAGAAAGGCATAGAAGAAGCAATTGAAGCGGGTAAAAGGATTAGCTATATACCTGTTGACATTATTTTCACATCTGCATTGGTTCGTGCTCAAATGACTGCTATGCTGGCCCTGACTCAACACCGGTGCAATAAGGTATTTCCCCATTATTGTTTGTTTCTTTGTTCCTGCTGCTTTTCTTCGATTGGTTCCGCCAAAAAGCAAAAAACAGATGAATAAAATAATAATTATTATAAGCAGAAAAAAGGGGAGAGAGAGAGAGAGAGAGAGCATTCATTTAAATAGAGACTTTAAGTCTAGTAAACTATACAATATTAGGATTGCTTACATAGTAAATTATTTAATGTTTTTAAAATCTGTTTTTTGTATAACTATAATCATAATTGTTAAAATTGTACGATTTGCGATTCAAATCTTAAGATTCCAGTTGATTCAAGCCCTAATTAATATGAAATGATTGGGTGAATTGATGAATCAACCAAATTGGTTGGTTCACCATGGATTCTGCCGATTGCTTCTTTATTTTATTTTTTGTTGGAAGAATAGTCTCTCAAGGACTTTCAAGGCTTTAAGGGTTGTCTATTCCATTCATATCCTCTTTTTTCCCTTCTTTTATTGTCTTGGACCCTTTGGTGCTCTCAACCCTCCAACGTTTAATAGACAATTTTTTTTTTTCCCTTTGTTTAGATGGCTTTATATTTAATTGTAGCTTTAGCCATGTATTTCTACTCACGGAAGGATCTTTTGGAGGCATTCATTGAGAGGCTTGAAAAGTTTGGTGGTTTGGGCACTTTGAACTCTCTGAAGTAAGTGGTTGGTTTATTCAACTTATAGAGTATTTAAGTCATGATTGTTTGAAATTTGGGAGTTTAGTTTTGTGTACATACTTCGTTGAGGATGATAGCTAACTCTAGTTATGAAAGAGGAAAAGAACAAGTCAAGTGACTGATATGGAACCATGGTTTGGTGTATAGAATATCCCAAGAAGTACAAACACTTCTAAGAAGATGACATATCCATGTTGTGTCCGTGTCAGACAACGACACTCTTTGGGCACTTCCTTACATGTAGGAATGGCAACGGGCAGGGCGGGGCAGGGGATCACACACCCCGTCCCCAATCCTCGATGGTAAAGTTTTTCCCATCCCCGGCCCTGATCCCCGACGGGGAACCTATCACCGCCCCCCTCCCCGTCCCCTCAACCCTAAAATTCCCTGGACCAAAAAAAAAAAAAACCAAACGGAGAGGGAGAGATCATTATCAACAACATAGATCATCAACAGAGATGATTATCAACAACATAGATCATCATCAAACAATAGATCAAAAAAAATAAATAACAGATCATCATCATAGATTAAAAAAAAAAATAGATCAAAAAAGAAACAATAACACAGATCATCATAGATCAAAAAAAAAAAAAAAAAAAAAAAAAAAAAAAAAAAAAAAAAAAAAAACCAAACAGAGAGGGAGAGATCATTATCAATAACATAAATCATCAACAGAGATCATTATCAACAACATAGATCATCATCAAACAACCGATCAAAAAAAAATAAAATAATAGATCATCATCATAGATTAAGAGATTGGCGCTGTGAAGAGCACTGTGAGGGACTGAAATGGCAATCAGAGCACTCCATAACGGCTCTCTTCTCTCTCTCTCTCTCTCTCTCCCTCCCCCCATTTTTCTTACAACCCGAAGCTCTCTCGCATCGCAAAAATGGCGATCAGAGCACTGTGAGTAAGGGACTGAAATTGGTGAGTTATAAGAGAGAGTGTGAGAGAGAGTAGAGGGAAAAGCGATGGCGGCGGTGAGTGAGGAGCAACGGCGGTGGTGAGGGAGAGCGAGCGGCGGTGAGGGAGCAGCAGAGAGAGAGAGAGAGAAAGGCGATGTGTTTTGTGTGTGTGTGAACCTATTCACTAAATTGATCCCAACTAATTGAGACACACGTATATATGGAGAGGGGTACAAATGTAATTTTACTTCGGAGGAGAAATGGGGCCGGGGCTGGGGACGGGCTATGTCCGTGAAAGCTATCCCCGTCCTCGTCCCGAAACTGATTGGGGATTTAATTTTGAATACCATCTCTGGCCCGTTGGGGATATTTTTCGGGGAAAAACCTCTTCTATCGGGGACGGGGGAGCGGGTCCCCGTCGGGCCGGGTTCAAATTGTCATCCCTACTTACATGTGTCCGATACTCGTCAAAGTGTGTCCTATTTTTATTATTTTTTTTAAAAACCTGGACACTTGGAGAACACACGTCCCTATCGCCTAAACACACGTGTCTATCAATTAAACAACGATCAAACTAATTATAAGTTTGATGAAAACAACTTAAGATATAATAATAAAAGAAAAACCATATAAATTATAGCAATTAGTATCGTATTTCATTTTTTATTATCTTGAATGATATATTCATATGTATATATATGACAAACAAACACATAAAATTATAAATTTCATGCTTGTTCCCCATGTGTCGTGTCCTGTTTTTTTTTTGAAAATTGGCGTGTCCATGTTGTATCCTTGTTGTGACACGTGTCCGTGTCCATACTTTTAGTAATTGATAAGTTTTGAACTTGTGATGAATTTATGAATTATTATGCAAATTTTGTTAATTTCACTCATGTTGAAATTTGGAATCTTTTGGCTTCTTGTATGATGGACCTTGAAATTTGAATATTTCAATTGAATCAATGCACACAGATACATATGTAATACAGCCTTATAAATTTATGGCAGGACTCAAACTTGCATTCTTTGACATGGAGGCAAGCATTTGACCTACTAGACCATGTGGGCACTAGTCACCCTTCACAACAAGTTTTGCACTAATATATGTTTAATCATTCACATTTATAGTAGATTTAAATTTTTTACATGTCTATGTATGCTTTTCTGGCTATTTTGGAAAGTGTTATTGAATTTTTTGGTTCACAATTCAAATTGATTTACCATTTTAAAAAACAAAAGAAAAAAGAAAAAGAGAATTATGATTCATGATTCATTTTTCAATTTAAATACGATGCTATACTTTTACCTAATAATTGATGTCCCTGATTTTACTTATTGAATCTTGTAATTTCGTTTGGACAAATGCACTGGTTTACTTAATCCATCATTGCTAACCATTACTCTTACAGCATTAGTGTACTCAGCAATGATGGTCATATAAAAATACACACGCACATTCAAGCTAGCATTAGAAGTCCTCATAACTCCTCCAAAGTTAGTCCCTTTTAGCGTGGGGTGTTTTAACTTCTTTGGCCCTTCTTGTGGATGTGTGTGCATTTTGATGACAAGAATATTCAGGTAGGTCTTGCATTGAACACAAAGTCTATATCTGCAAGACCAGTGTTCGTGCAATTGCAGGGATATTTGATGAATTGATAACCTTTTAAACAAGTGTCTGATAAGTAACATTATAAATTCTTTAGATAATCTATTTCAGGTCAAGGGATACAATTTTTTTTTTTTTCTTTTTGGATTTGTACCTTTCCTGCCTTCACCAAGAAAATTTACTTGTTTGCATAGGTTTTAAACCCCCCTTACTATTTACAGGTGCCCATAATTATACATGACGAGAGTGAAGAGTCCAAAATGTGGAGTCAAATTCATAGTGAAGAGACCAAGAAGCAATCCATTCCAGTTGTGAAAGCTTGGCAACTAAATGAAAGAATGTATTTTCATGTCTATGTTCCTTGTCTCCCACTTAAATTTGTACTCACCTCAAACTTCTAGCTTGATGAAGTATTAGAAACTTTCCTTCACAGGTATGGGGAGTTACAGGGTCTTAATAAACAAGAGACAGCTGAAAAATATGGAAAGCAGAAAGTCCATGAATGGCGTAGAAGTTATGGGACATGCCCCCCCAATGGTGAAAGCTTGCAAATGTGTTCTCAAAGAGCTGTTGCTTATTTCAGAAAGCATGTAAGCAAAGCTATATTCATCTTTTCTAGTATATCTGAGTTTGGAAGGTGACATCTTAAGTTTGGATATTGATCAATAAAATGTCTAGAAGCATTGCTGAATGTTCTTATGCATGGGTCTATAAGGTTGAAATGTCACTGTGTCAACACCCAAGTTCTGAGAAGGATTACATTGCAGATTGAACCCCAACTTTTTGCGGGAAAGCATGTGATGGTTGCTGCCCATGCAAATTCACTGAGGGCCATTATTATGTATCTTGACAAATTAACTACACAGGAGGTAACTAGAAAAATCTCTGTAGGGGTTATTACTGCTTCTTGTTTCATATAAAATTTCAGGGTTTAACATGGATCCTTAGATTTGAGTTTCTATAAATAAGCTTTAATCGTGTCTCATGGACAGGTAATTAACTTAGAACTGTCAAATGGAGTACCAATGCTATACATTTATAAAGAGGGAAAATTTATCAGGAGGGGAAGTCCTCTAGGTTCAACAGAGGCTGGTGTATATGCTTATACCTGGGTATGCATTTCCTACATATTTTTGTCGAATCTCCTTGGCTGTTGTCGTTCAAAATAGCTGCCAATTTTGTGAGATCTTGTTCACGTAACATTGTCTAGTTTTCTTTAGATGTGCTAAAATGAAAGGGAGAAATATGTTTGACATAAGATCCTTGTTTGATCTGCAATAGGTTATTATCACAGCTGTTTTTAACTTGTTATAGGCTTGGTTTTTTTAGTTTAGAGTTAACTAGCCAGGTAACCTCCGGACTGTCAAACCTGTGGGGTTAAGCCACTTGTCCCTTAGCTTGGGGCCTTGTGCAAAGCTGAGCTAACCCCTATGATTCGACTCTCTCATAAAATGGATCTCCTCCATGCATTCAAGTACAAGAAGAGACAAGCAATTAGACATCTCCTCCAATAAGTTCAAACGCTCTCTCTTCACTACCACTCTCACACTAACAAAGTTAACAGCAATACAGCTAATGACAAAACTCCCAAAGTATGCAGAAACCTAAATCTAACAACAAAGCTTAATCATACAACTTAATTAAAAGTAAATCTATAGATTATCTATCTCTTTAAGATCTCTCTTCTTCCCCTCCCGCATAGTAGAAGAATGTATCCCTTTGCCATCCAAAAATAATCTTGGATCTTCATCACATAGTTCTTCTATTATTTTGTTCTCTTTTCTGTTGACTTCCATACTATCATCTGCTATGCTACTTGGTCATTAATTGGGTGTTGACAGTATGATCCTATGTCAATTTGATCAAACGTCCCAACCTATTCCACTTTCCTCTATTATTTTGCTTCTCCATGATCTTTCACAATTTATTTCTTGACACTTTTTTTCTTAATTGAATTTCTGGGATAATGGTTGTCCTGGATGAATGGCTTAGGCTAAACTGAAATTGCATATGGGAATTTGGACACCATGAGGGCAATGGGGTTGTTTGGTCTAGCTTAGATGAGCTTCTTATAGCTGCTGCTGCTGCTGCTGCTGCTTCTTCTTCTTCATTTATTTTATTTTAGGAGTTTGTGCCAGGTGTTTGGTACAGTTTCTGCTTATAGGTTACTAGGCAAAAATAGCTTAAGCAAGTTATAAAATGCTGATTATTTGGAATTTGACAGAAGGGTGTTTTTGGCTTCTGCTTTCTACTTGTTTGCTTTCAACTTGGAAAAAGCTATACCAAACAAGCTGAATAGATCAAAAGTTCAAAGATTATATACAAATCTGGTGAATTCAAGTTAATGGGACTTGAGGCTTGGTTTGGTTGGTTGGTTGGTTGTGTTGGAATGTGTCCCACATCGCCTGGAGTTGCCCCATCTGTACTGTTTATAAAGCTCCAGTTTCCGTCTCCTTAATACCTGGGTTTTAAAGAGAAGTGTAGGCTAGGCTTTTCAATTGGTTGGGTGTTCATTTCCAGTTCAATGCAAAGAAAAATGTTTGTCATGATAAGCATTGCTATGTCTATTTTCCGGTTAGAGAACTTATAGGAGCACAATGTAGTGTATGGTAATGACGGGATTGATGCCATTTTCATGATTTCCAGTTTTTAATCCTCATTTTCAGTTGTCTAGACGTTATTGTCCTCAAATATAGACCTAATTCTTCAAATATTTGTGCAAACTGGTTGCTCCCAGAATTGTCCCTCAACATTGCTGCGAATAAATAATTATCTCTTTTCTCGCTTTCTTTACTATCTTACAATGAAATGCCTTGTGCCTTTCCATTTCAGTTCATACTTGGCTGTTCTGAATGGTTAGTTTTTATTGGGTGAATTATTAATATTTCCACCATACAAGGAATACCTTCTTACTCCAACAATACAATCCCATTAGTATCATATTTGTAGTAGTGGTTCTTGTTTGGAATATCAGTCTAAAGTTTTATCATCTCTTTCGTAGAGAATTTACCATATTGTCTTGTAGATAGAAGCATGTTATTTGTTGCTGTGATTTTAATGGAACTTGGTTTCACAGCTCTTTGTGGAGTGTGTATGTATTATGGTCATGGCACCTAGATCTCATTTTGATAATTTTATGGATAATTTCACCACCGATCTTCAGTGGAGTCCTTGTCATTTCAAAAAGCTGAGGCAGCTTTGTAGGTGGTGGGATGATGGTTTTGCAAAGTTTTTACATGTTGAATGTTTTGATACATTTGAACATTTCACGTTCATGACCTCTTCAGTGTGCAATCTAGGAGATGTATGACTTCCTAAGTTCATTTGATTGGATGATTTATCATAAAAAGAGAAAAAAGAAATCATTTGATTGGATGACTATAACAATTAGTATAGATTTTTGTGAAGTTTGGCTTTAACAAGAAAAAGCATCAAATCCATTGCATATTTTCAGTGTATGATATATCAATATAACATATCCTAAAAACCAAATTGTCGACTTCTGCCCCCAAAAGTGTAGGCATCCACTTTTGTTAAATACTGATTTGTATTTGATTTTTAATTTCCCTTTTTTTTTTTTTTTTTTTTTTTTGTTCAGATTCATACATCTGTTTCTTTGTCTTTATAGCAATAAATGTAGCTAATGAATGATGACATATGAGTGACCTTGTGATTTACTTTCTGCAGGATTTGGCCCTTTACAGGCATAAATTAGGTGAAATGTCCAATTAAAGTGTCAAAAGAAGAGGTAAGCTCCATTGTTGTTAAGTTATTTACAAAGAACGACATCCTTGTCAAGTCAGTAATTTTCCATAGTAATTTCTTTTGGTAATGTTATTTTATGATAGTTTAGCACGAGAACAGAGAGAAAAAGGGAAAATAAAAAAATAATTATAATAATTTAAAAAAAAAAAATGAAGCAAACATAAAGGATGGAGGTTGCGAGCAATCATAGAATTTTCATACGGGTGATCTTCACACAAGATTATATCCGGTGCATGCTAGTAGCACAGACAAATGCGTTGCATGAGCAACCTTCATAAACCCTAGAACGATTTAGTTGTTTGCATAGGGAGAAAAATCCTCCATTTGTTTCACCTGTACTAGGAAACCAGCAATACCTACTGCTTAGCCTATTCCCTCAAATTTTCCATGTTGTATGTTCATTTAGTTGTTGGTATAGTAGCATTTTGTATTGAGATCAAAGCATTAGGGGACTCTTCTCAACAGTGTCCAGTTCTGCATATTCAACAGTGATCAACAAGGACTACATAATCTGTGCTGAAAATCTCATGCTTTGGAAAACAATTGATCCAAGCATAGTTATCAAATCGGGATTCAAATCATTAATCAAAATGGCCTCGTATCGAATTGCGAATCGAATCGAATTATGAATCATAAAGTTTCGGTCATTTTTTTCTGAATTACTTAGAAAAATATATCTACATATTTCGATGTTAAATATATCATATGAATATGAAATATTTAGACTTAAATCAGTGAAAATGTTATTTTGAATGAGGATCATGTAGTTTAATATGTAATAAGTTAACAAAGGTTCCTTGTAAATCTTACCTTTTTGTAGATATTTCTTATCAACCATTCTTAATAAAACATAGTAAACAAAGATAAACTTTCAAGTTCTAAAGTAACAATAATTTGACAATGATATTGATATTTGGACAATAAGAATACATACTTTTTCAAGTAACAATGACCAAATGATAAGAAAGAATTATTTAGAATCTTTTCTTTAAAGCATAAAACATTTTAAAAGGTATAATTGACCTCATCCATATAATATTTAACCATAAAATCTGATTGGATTCTATTAAAAACATCGTGATCACTAAAATAACGAATCATGTGTATATAAATTGGTTATTTTGGCGTTAAATGTTATTAGAAGTTGTATTATGTCATTTTTACTAAAAGATGGAGAAAAAAAGAGTTGAAATATGTCAAACACAATAATTTCAAGAATTGCGTGAATCGTAAAAAGTAAATCGAATCGTAAATCGATTGTGAATCATGCGATTCATTAGAGATTCACTTCCAAAATAAATTCATCCATAGATTCGTATCGATTTTGCAAAAATTACGAATCGAATCGTGAATCGAATCGCAAATCGTAAGATTCTGATAACAGAGGATTCAAGTAATTCCATCTATATATATCCGTACTTCTAAAAACAAGGGTAATTACATCCATATATAATGGGATAGATTTCTCTTTCTCTTTGGCAATCTTTATATTTTGTAATAATGTTCTAGAAGAGTTCTTTGAGTATTCATAAGATTTTATCAAAATCTACCTAAGTATTAGAAAGAGCAGAAATGAAGCTATTAATATTTAGGGGTTGTTTGGGATGACCTAAATAAGTGCATTTTTTGTCTTTTTACGAAAAGATGTGCAGAAAAGTAGAGAGGTGATGTGATTGAAAAAAAATAAAAAGATAAAAAGATGGATTATTTTGATGTTGCCAAACTGACCTTATTCTTTGGATTGGGACAACAAACCTAATTCCTCCATCCTAACCAAGCCCGTTGTGAAATGCATTGAAACTTCCAATTCTAGCCTTGCAACACGAATGATGCTGCCTCCTTGGAATTGATGTTGTGTGCAATGATGACATCATGGGCTATTATCTATCATGGGATACAGCATCCTTAAATTTCAAACAGATACTGACTAATTATTTCAACTAGAAATGTAATGTATCCATAAAAATATTAAGAAAATATACCAGAATTTTAATTTCTGTTGTAGATTTAAACTGTGTAGTATGAGTCGCAATGAATGCACTTTTCAAAGGATTATATACATAGTATATGGCATGTGTGTATTTCAAATAGTTCTCTTGATCGGTTTGATCTCAAATTTCAGTTGTGACAGGAGAATCAAATAACAGTGACCTAGCAATGGAACACTAATTGAAATAGAATGGAAAGAGAGAAACAAAATATTACAACAAACTTTTAAACTTATTCATGATATCTCAAATCCCTAATAGAAGGAGCCCCTTCTTGATGTAGAAGCTCTTCTAATATACTTGTATTTAGCTCCATATCTTGTCTTTGGATCCCTAATACACCATCCAATTCAAGTTGTGCAATTACATTCTCTCCAGTACCTTTCATAATCCTCAATTGTACCCCTATTACTATTCCCTCCCCCAACTTCATTCACATCTCCACTTCTATCAATGCTTTCTGGGATAGTGTTTGAGCTTGTGACTAAACATGGGAAGGTTCATCAATGCAACTGAATCAGAGTCTTCATCAATCCGGTAACCGCACTGAGACTCATGTTCAGTCCTCAAGTTCCTATCCACAAACCCTAACCCTAATTCACTTTGTGGGCACTTCAAGTTTTGGCAAGCATACAAAACCCCCACCACATCCTCCTCTCCCTCAAACACACACTTCCCTTTCTCTCTCCTCCGCAACTCCGACTGGTCAACTGTATCTCTGGTAACGGCAACTTCTTCTTCCTTCTCTTCGCCATCTTCCGGCGAGATCTTCAGGCTTTTCTCAGTGAGCTTCAAAAGGGCTTCTTCTTGGTTAACAACTTTAGACCAAGTTGCAGTCTCTTTAGCTGTCATCTTATCTTGTAAGCACTTTGACTGTCCCACTAACCTCCTCACAGTGTCTAAATTAGGGCGCACGTGTTTGATAATTGCAGCCAATAAACCCACCTTCCAAGTCTTTTTAAGGTCATGTGGCTTCTTATAGGGTGGTAGACCTTGTTCTTGTTGCATTCCTTGATCACCCCTATGTTACCTGGAATATGGATCTTTTCGGTACGTAAAATGGGAACGGGAATATGGTACGCTTCATGCGCTTAAATGTGGTACGATAGTGGTAGACTTGTATGTGTTACACTTAAAAATTTAAGGTACTTCTAGAATAATTTTCTTTTAACTATTAGGCATCCAATAATATACATGTATATATTTTTTCATTTTTGAAGTTTGTCTTGTCAAAACTTAAGTCACCTTATATTTTAATTTGTTATATTTGATTTTTTTTTTCCTCTTAAGGTAACATTTAAGGAAATATATTAGAAAAAGTTTTAAGGGTCGCTTCGGATCACTAAATTTATCGTTTTGGAACGAAAGTGTTCCATGTTTCGGAACGGACGTATCAATATGTAATTTGCTAAGGTATTAGCAATTTTTGGTAACACAGGATCACCCCACCATAGTTCCTTCTCTGTGGGCCACCGTGGAGGAGCTAAACCCTTCTCCAATGGAAACACCACCTCTGTGGAGGTACACTGTGTTGCAGTAGGGCAGAGAGAATTTAACCCAAAGTTGTGTCTTGCAAGTAGGAGGAGATGCATATGCGAAGTTGGATCATCCAACTGATCAGCTTGCTCCAGTGGCAGCAGAGGTGACACAAACTTGGCAATGGCTGCCGGAGCAAGTTGATTGAACCTAACCTTTTCCTTCCACCAGGAACGGAGACTGTCGGAGGAGCCGGTAATGGGCTTGCCGTGCTCAGGGACGATGCCATAGGCAAAGCCTTTTGCTTTGCAATCCTCCATGATATCTTCCATGATCTTGATCATGTACTTGAGAATGGCAACTTGGGCTGTGGACATCTTTTTCCGGCGGGATTGATCTTGTTTGGGCTCGGAGGAGGATGACTCAGGCTTGGGCTCTCTTGTGGTTCGTTGCTGGGACTTGAGCTTATCTACGCACATGCGGTCCTTCAACATGCGCTTCTTGAGCTCATTGTAGCCAGTCTCTTCGCCTTCATAGTAGTCAGTCTTCTTCTTCTTCATCATCAACGTCACAGGGGCTTTGCGGATCAATTTCTCCGTGGAACTTCATCATGATTGCTCTGAAACCTTGATATATGTTGGTGATCAAATTTAACCATATGTAGGTGATATGTGTTTGTATACAATATATACATATTGAAGAAACAAGAATGGCGGTGGAAGTGGAAGGTGAAGAAGGCTTGAAAACAAACTGAGCATTCAAGAGGGTGGAGGGTGATTTTGTATTGCATTAATTAATGGAAGTATGGGAGGGGGGAGGGGTGGTGAGGAGTGACAATGGAGGAATTTGAGGAATTGGTTGCAGGCGTTGAGCAGAGCAATGGCTGGAGAGAGAGAGAGAGAGAGAGAGAGAGAGAGAGAGAAGATGGTAAAGTGGTGCAATTTAGCCTGAGATTGCTAGCCTGCGTCAGGTTGCATACTCACATTGCATGCATGTTAGAGACATGGTTATGCTGTTTATTTGTCCCAATTAAATTATAACCCAAAGCTCTGCATCTCCTGTGGATCCATATGACATTTTTCTTGGTCTATATGTGCGAGTGTATGGACATGGTTGTTTTGAAAATTAGTTATTTTTATAAAAGACGTAAAAAAAAAAAAAAAAAATAGAAAGAAAGAAAAGTTAACTTTTTAATAATGATTTTTTGATTTTTTTTTTTGACTAAAATAGTTTATTGCCAAACTTATACACAAAATTTGGTGTTAGGTCAAGAAGGTTTTGAGGTTTCATAATTTTTATTTTTTATTTTTGTTTATATTGTAATTATTTTTAAAAATAACCACTAATAGTTACCAAATTTTATTTAGTTTTTTTCATTCGTCAAATCAAAAAAAGATGTTGATATAAAATTTTAAATGCATCGTGTTTGCATCCAACATTAATGCATATGAAGGTAAAGAAGTAAATACTATTTTGATTAGGGGTGGACGTAGATCGGTTGCGGCCATGGAACTTTTAATTTGTAATTTGTCTGCCAAATTGGCGAATTGGAGAAAATCAATTCGCATCCGTCCGTCAATCTGGTAGATATGAATTGAACGGGTTGGCGGATTAGCGGATGGATGCGAATTGGTTTGATGGTTTAAAATTTTATAAATTTTCAACATAATTCAACTTGGGTACTTAAAAAAAAAAATTACAATTAATGACTTAAAAAAGTATTACAATCACTGCATGCCTCATCCAAATAAAAAAAGTTTGAAAATTTAGAACATTATAATCACTGCATGTCTCATCTATATATTACAATCACATCATGTCTCATCCACATAAAGTATTACACAAAGTATTACAATATGTGGTTATTAAAATATAAAAATAGTTTAAACCACTAAAATCATGAACAGAGAAGTAGTAGAGATGGTATGTCTCTATATTGTTACATCTATATCTGTTTTTGAAAATAAAACAAACCAGCATATATTATCTTTTTTATTTATTATTTTTAGAGTTAGATTTAAAAATCAAAAAATATAGATAAATAATATATTTATTTTTTTCAATTCAAAAAATATATTTAACAAAATATTTAAACTCTTTTTCAATTGAAAATATAAACAAAATATTTAAACAAATTGAAAATATAAAGTCTTACAAATTACTAGGAGTCCTCGCAGTTTGGCAGTTCGGATGCAGAATCTCAAATCCACCATCTGTCCAAAACTAGGCGGATTGAAAAAAATCAATCCGCAACCGTCCGTTCGTCATCACGCATCCGTTCAAAATTCAATCGGTTTGGATGGATCGATATATTCATTATTCAGCCCTAATTTTGACCCTTCAACAATAAATATTGGGCATTAATTAAAATCAAATAATGCAAAATAAATAAATAAAAGAGTTAAAATTTTAATATATATTTCATATATTTTTTTATTCTTTCATATATTTGTGTATATTTTTTACATATTTTTATACGTATGCCAGAATTAGGTGGTGTTTGATAAAATAAAAAACTAAAAGTTGGAAATAAAGTTTGAAAATTGAATAGTGAATCTTTTTAGTCGAAATGTTATTTGATATAAATTTAAGTGCAGAATTAAAATAAATTATACGATACAAGAATCTAAAATTAAAATTTGTTATTATTACTTTTTTTAATTTATATAATTTTGGTGGTAAAGTCGTGGTGGTGGTGGTGTGGTGGTAGTGTCAGCAACGATAAATGGGAGATTGGTTGAGGTATGGGGATGATGGTGGGGTGGGGTGGGGTGGGGTGGAGGAGGTGGAGGGGTGGTAATAGTGTGATGGTGGATGGAGTGGTAGTTATGATAAAGGTGGTGGTGGCTAAGTAGAACCGGTCTTGGGATAAAGCTATTGAGGCATGTGCCTTAGGCCCCAAAAAATTGGTCCAAAATAGGACTCAAACTTAGTAGTGTCTTAGTATATTACAAATTCAAATAGATCCAATTTATTTTTGTTGGTTTAGGACCAATCTAAAGGGCTCAAAAAATTATGTTGGCGCCATATGAAAAAAAAAAAATTATAAATGTGATGTGGCCCGATAGAAATTAAAACATATATGTTCGGGGAGCAAATATTCCGACGAGCCCATACTCCTTTCTTCCAAGCTCTTGTCTGTCCGATTGACCTGCGAGCACAACGCGGTGAGCTACCCGGCGGTGTGTGGCCGGAATACCCCTCCGACGATCAAGTTAGACACATACAGGGATAGAGAGAGAGAGAGAGAGAGAATTGAGTGTTTAGTGTAAATCCCACCAAATGTTCATCTGTCAAGGCATGGGGGGCGCAGACTCGCTTATATACCTTCTGCGCCCTAAATCTACTCCCATCAGTCTCTCGACACGTGGTGTCGCTATCCCATCTGCTAGCACAAATCCAGCAATCACCACCTAACCAAACTGTTAGGATACCTTGGCGGAGCTCGGCAGACTGGCGGAACCTCCTCGGTTTCTCCTGACCGTGCTGCGCGGCATACCTTAATGAACCATTCGCCAAGCTCCTGTACAACCGAACTCGGCTGTATTCCGGCAAGCCGAGCTCGAGGTAGGTCGAGCTGGTTAGCCGTCGGTCTTCCTGCCGAGCTAACGCATGAACCGTGGAACCCATGGAGACAGGCAGATATCTCGGTCGAACTCCCAGTAGACTGGCTTCCGCACCAACAAGCCAAGTAGCTCGGTCCCACGTGCCTTGTGCCTTAACCAAGCAAAACCCTTCCGGACAGGCCCAAGCTACCACGGCCCAATTGTGTTCAGCCCACAATTTGCCCGGCCTTTACCACGGCCCAATTCAGCTCATAAATCTCCCTCTCAATTGCCCTTTAATTCCGTCCGCGCAAGCGTGACTGGGATTACATGATCTGATTGGGGTAAACTCTTCCTCGGTCCTTAGTTTGCAAGACATCAACCGCGCTATTCCTCTTGCTCGGTTTCTTGGCTTGCTTGGCTGAAGCCTCAACTTGCCTTCTTGGCGAGCAAAATCAGCTCGGCGAGGAACTTCAAAGAAGGCGAGCAAGGTCAGCTCCGCGACTTCCTTCTTGGCGAGCAAGGTCAGCTCGGCAAGGAACTACAAAGAATGCGAGCAAGGTTCGCTCCGCGACTTCCTTCTTGGCGAGCAACATTGGCTCGGCAAGGAACTCCAAGGAAGGCAAGCAAGGTCCGCTCCGCGACTTCCTTCTTAGCGAGCAACACCCGCCCGGCAAGGAACTCCAAAGAAAGCGAGCAAGGTTCGCTCCGCAACTTCTTTCTTAGCGAGCAATATCAGCTCGGCAAGGAACTCCAAAGAAGGCGAGCAAGGTCCGCTCCGCGACTTCCTTCTTGGCGAGCAAGATCAGCTCGGCAAGGAACTCCAAGGAAGGCGAGCAAGGTCCGCTCGGCTACTTCCTTCTTGGCGAGCAAGATTAGCTCGGCAAGGAACTCCAAGGAAGGCGAGCAAGGTCTGCTCCGCGACTTCCTTCTTGGCGAGCAAGAATAGCTCGGCAAGGTACTCCAAAGAAGGCGAGCAAGGTCCGCTCCGCGACTTCCTTCTTGGCGAGCAACATCGGCTCGGCAAAGAACTCTAAGGAAGGCGAGCAAGGTCCGTTCCGCGATTTCCTTTTTGGCGAGCAACATCCGCCCAGCAAGGAACTCCAAAGAAGACGAGCAAGGTCCGCTCCGCGACTTCCTTCTTGGCGAGCAACATCAGCTCGGCAAGGAACTCCAAAGAAGGCGAGCAAGGTTCGCTCCGCGACTTCCTTCTTGGCGAGCAAGATCAGCTCAGTAAGGAACTCCAAGGAAGGCGAGCAAGGTCCGCTCGGCGACTTCCTTCTTGGCGAGCAAGATTAGCTCGGCAAGGTACTCCAAAGTAGGCGAGCAAGGTTCGCTCCGCGACTTCCTTCTTGGCGAGCAAGATCAGTTCGGCAAGGAACTCCAAAGAAGGCGAGCAAGGTTCGGTCCGCAACTTCCTTCTTGGCGAGCAACATCAGTTCGACAAGGAACTCCAAGATCGGCAAGTAAGGTCCGCTCGGCGACTTCTTTCTTGGCGAGCAAGAATAGCTCGACAAGGTACTCCAAAGAAGGCGAGCAAGGTCCGCTCTGCGACTTCCTTCTTGGCGAGCAAGAATAGCTCGGCAAGGTACTCCAAAGAAGGCGAGCAAGGTCCGCTCCGCGACTTCCTTCTTGGCGAACAAGATCAACTCGGCAAGGAACTCCAAAGAAGGCGAGCAAGGTCCGCTCCGCGACTTCTTTCTTGGCGAGCAAGATCAGCTCGGCAAGGAACTCCAAGGAAGGCGAGCAAGGTCCGCTCCGCAACTTCCTTCTTGGCAAGTAACATCAGCTCGGCAAGGAGCTCCAAAGAAGGCGAGCAAGGTCCGCTCCGCGACTTTCTTCTTGGCGAGCAAGATTAGCTTGGCAAGGAACTCTGGTCTTTCCACCAAAATGATTGTCAATTGCCCCTTTTCCTCGGCCTTCTGACTGACGTCTTTCAAAACCAAACTCCCTAGATCTTTTCCACGGTTGTTCGCACCGCCATCCTTTGAGCTTCCCGCCAGAATAAATCATCTCGGCTATAGCCTTGAGTTGAGCAAATCATCAACTCATTTGGCCGGAGTAAATCATCTCAGCTGAAACTTCAGAGTTGAGCAAATCATCAACTCATTTGGCCGGAGTAAATCATCTCGGTTGAAACTTCAGAGTTGAGCAAATCATCAACTCATTTGGCCGGTGTACATCACCTCGGCCGAAACTTCAGAGTTGAGTAAATCATCAACTCATTTCGCCGGAGTACATCATCTCGGCTGAAACTTCAGAGTTGAGCAAATTATCAACTCATTTAGTCGGAGTACATCATGTCGGCTGAAACTTCAGAGTTGAGCAAATCATCAACTCATTTGGCCGAAGTAAATCATCTCGGCTGAAACTTCAGAGTTGAGCAAATCATCAACTCATTTGGCCGGAATAAATCATCTCGGCTGAAACTTCAGAGTTGAGCAAATCATCAACTTATTTGGCCGGAGTAATTCATCTCGGCTAAATCAGAAAAGTTTTTC